ACATGGACATAATATACATAATAGAAAGAAGATGGGTCAGAACAGAGAAAACAAGAGTTAAACTTGTTCCAGAAAACTTGGTGAAGGTGACTTTTAATGGTATTAATGGAAAGGTCAGGATTGATTGGCGGAAGGGAGTTCCAGAGTCGTGGAAGTCGGTTGAAATAATGATGAGCAGAGGAATTAGACTTTGATAGTGAATGAGTTCGTTTTTGATGATTGGAGGACCGAGATATTCCTTTAGAAAATGAACGTAGAAGAGGATTGAAAAGGCATTTGAAGTATTGGGATTCTCGAGGCAGCACATAAAGAACAAGACATGAGTTCAAGTTGCATCATCAGGGGTAGAAGATTGAGGGACAAAAGACGATGTTTATAGTCAGAGTGAAAGTCATTCAGAATGTATTTAGTTGCACGTCGCTGGATACATTCTAGTGCCAAGATGTCTTTGATGAGATGGGGCCTACAGATCTGTGAGGCATAGGTGAACTGTGAACGAATTAGCGTGATGTACAGGTTATTTTTAGCAGATATATGCAATCCTGAGCAGAAAGAGCGCCGGATAAGGGGTAAAACCTTGTAAGCTTGAGAGGAAATAAACATCAGGTGGTTGCTCCACTTCAGATCGCTAGACATTAAAATACCGAGATCACGATGGCAGTTAATAGCTTGGATAGGTAAACCATTGATGATGCAGTTAAAGTGAATTGGGGGAAGTTTGGAGCAGAATCTGAGTAGGAAGCATTTTGCATTAAAATGCATGTTCCATTGAAGACTCCAAGAAGAAAGGCGTTGAAAATCTTCTTGAAGAGAGTGACAGTAAGATAAGGAAGATACTTTAATTTCTTGAGGCATTTAGTGGAATAGGTGAGAATGTTTCATGGAAGAAGGGATGTCATTAGAACAGAAGAGATTATTGAAACCAGTCCTCCCATCACTCCTCCAGACACACACTTCTCTCCTTGAACCCCTTTTGTAAATGCTTCCTCAATTATTCTACCCTTCATTTAGTCATGGGGGATGTTAGTATTATTATAGAGTTGAGAAATCAACTTTCAAAGTCATCATAAAAATTCATGATCTCCGATTCATAGTCAAATCTGTGTAACTGGACTCACAAACAAGCCATCATGTAACACTGACCATCTGAGCAAGTGGTCCAAATAATATATTAGTGCATGTGCACTTTTTATTCGCTATCTCTCTTCTACGGTCTCTTCACCACTTTACCATAAATTCCATTGCCTCATTGCCAGTAAATCCCAACTCTTTTGTCTCCTTTCTGTGCAAGGCATATGCTTCCTAGGGTTAAGGCCCATAAGTTTTATACCAATGTAATAGCTTAGCTAAGTAACTGTAATAACACACTTGTATGGGGGTAGCTTAGTATGGTAACAGCTTAGGGTAGCTAAGGTAGCAGTGGTAGCAGGCAGCGCCATCTGGTCACTGTGCTCGGCAATTATCACAAGATAACGGTAAATATTATTTTTACACGTTATAAGCTAGTAATGAGTAAATATCATGCACACTGTTGTTACGAATTGGCATGAAGCAAGTTATCACCGATATCTTTGGCTAGGACTGAGAGCCCTATTCCTGTAAGACAGTGACAAGTGTGGCCCAGGACTGTGGCTTCCTCCCAGTTCCCTCCAGCCATCTCTGGAGAATGGCTTCTGATATTCTAGTCTGGTCTGGTCGGTACTGGGACTCAATATTGCTAGTTATTGCTCCAGTGTTTTCCTTTAGCAGGCGTATGCCTAGACTGTGACTTCTCACTGCAATTCTCTCAAGAATGGTGACGTTTCCTGATTGTGTAGGGAAGTGCTTAAGAAGTGGCAGAGTTGGTGTGTCCAGGAGGGAGGGAGTTGACTGAGATAGCTGCTGTTGTGAATAGTCTGTGAATTCCCTGGCACGGGCAGCAATGTTCAAACCTTCCATACACCCTCTCAATTCACCTTGTGTTGACTGTGGTAGTTGGATAGCCTGCTCCAAGATTGACTGGTTCTCAAAGTTTTGATTGGGTAGCAGTGGGGACTGCTGGCTAGGTAGGCCTGGTACTTGTGTTTGTGCTGGCAATGACAGTTTGTTTGGATGTAGTAGCAGTTGGTGGCTGGTGGATTGGTGTATGGTTGCCTGGTTGTGAAAACTCTGTTTAAAATGTAGTGGTGGCTGTGGGCACATTTGGGGTAAGGGTTGGAGTTGATACTGGTAATGAGACAGCCCCTGGGGTGGTTGGTTTAGCTGCACAGGCTGCATCAGCTGGGGTTGGCATGGAGGCAAGTGTTGGTAGCCTTGGCACAAGTGATATTGAGGCCCCAGGAATTGAGGATGTAGAGTGTGGCCTTGGAATTGAGGATTTTGAGTGTAATGTGGCTGGGCCATTTGCAGTGAAAGAGGTAATGGAGCTTGTGGTGCAGAACTTATTGCTTGAGGGAGTTTGGGCTGTGCAAGATTTTTTTGGTGTGGAATCGATACCCATCCAAAACAACTGCATTTTATTTGGTTTGAATGACATTTGGGAAAGTTCACAACAGAGCAAATGATTGCCCTTGCGGTTCACAAAGCCGGCACAATGTCTTTCAGTACCTTCAGTACAGCTGCAAAAAACAGAGGATAAAAGTGTTATTTGGTTCTTGTCAATGTGTATTACCTCAAACACTTTCTCAATCGCACCGAGTAGTTTCTCACGAAGCTGATTACTGATAACGTGTGCCCGAGAATCGTGAATGTTCATGTGAGAGCTAATATGGAGTTCGAGGTGCTTAATGAGGTCAACCAAAACGACGTTTACCAGAATGTCGGGGTCATGGAGGGAGACAATGTTGTGGGCAAGGCATTGGGGAGCACGATTTCTACAAATGACTTGCCAGTCGTACTGTGAGAGGAGGCAGGAGACAGTGCTGCAGAAACAGCCCATGGTAACACAGCCACTGCTGAATTTCACGACTAGTGGAACTGTGTCGGATGATTTGGGGATGTAGCAATGGATATCCTGGTCGGGAATGGCAGGCTTCAAACACATCATGAGGTATTCCTTTTTCCTGCCATCAACCGAGTCCATTCTTTCATCTGTTGTGTCAGGCTGGAGTGGAGCTATGATGAAGGTGTGACAGAAGAGTTTGATGGCATCTTGTGCCTCGTAAAAGTCCTTTTTGAAATGCGGCGAAATTATCTTGTCATTGCTGAGCAATTCTTCGGTAATGACCGCCTTTTATAGCATAGACACAAGTTTTGCCGGGACGCCTTGCAATGGTAGATAGCTGGAACGAACAATGCCATTGACAATGTCAAGAGGCACTTGGGGCTTGACAAAGACGTGATTCGGGAGGACATGTCGGAAGTAGAGGAAGGTGTTCTGGCGATGGAAGAGGACCAAAGCAGCCTCCACTACTTCATCGCTCATCCTAAGACGTGCACCGACCTGCCTGCACTCATTGAGACTCAAGATATCACGTTTGGTTATATTCTCGGCAAACTGGAGGAGGTCTTGCTCAAAAACAAAGAAAGAACTTGGTGTGTCAAAAGTCCTCCCCAGATCTGGTTTTCCGACCTCGGTACGAATCAACTCCAGCGCTTTTTGTCCTCGTCATCTGGATTCTTCAAGTTCAGAACAAAGGCAATTTTGTCAGGTGCTTCAAAGAGAATGAGCTCATCTTCGAAGGCAGGGAGTAAGAGGCTGTGTAACTCTTTATTGAGGGAGTCAACACGAACTACAAGGTCGCTCTCCACACAGTCACGGTGTGTGGCCACAATTAGGAGGTGGAAGGACTCGTTGAGGTTTTTCCTGGCATGTAAGGTCGACACAAGCTTAATGATGACATCTCTGCCAGTGTATATAGTGAGACGGAACCTCGCATCTGTAAGGTACACCGTCCTTATGACATTCAACTGGTGGGTGTTCATTAAGACCATACATAAGATTCACTAACACCAGTGAGAGGTTGGCATTGTGGATGAGAGATGGCATCACTTCCATCAGCTCAGGCTGACCACCAGTGTCTATCATGTGGACAAGCTCTAGCAGTAGCATATCATCTGTGGGATTACATGGAGCTGTTGATTTGACTAGTGGAACCATTTCCTGGCAGGATGGACTCTTCTCCACTTGAGGGAGAGATGTAGTAGGGGCAAAAACAGTGGGATTTCTGTTGGATGAAACAAGAGCAGAAACGGTCGAAGAGTCTAACATGCTGGTTGCTTCCTCCACTGGCTCCATGTCTCGCATAAGACAAGTAGCAAGGAAATCGATGTCCGTTTCCTTCATTCCAGCTTGCATGAGAAGGGCAAGGACTTCGCGAATGTCCTTGTTAGAGAGACGCCGCCATACTCCGGCCGAGATACGCAAGATGTGGTGGAGTAAGCCTCGAAATGACTGCTCAGCGACACCGGTGCAGGCCAGGAGGTGCCAGGCCAAATAAATGGTGCAGGAGAGTGGTCTTCCCTGATCCCATCAGACCTGTGATGAGTCCCACCACATTCCTCTGCTGCAGACTACCCGACTCCATTGCCTCATCAATGATCTGGGCCCTTTCGTCTGTAATTGGTTTGGCGTTTACTGTAAGAAAGACTTCATGCAGCAGTTCCCCAGCCTTTGGTCTTTTCCTTGGGTCATGGACTAAACATCTGTGATGTAAAACAGGCATGAAGTTATTTACAATTCATACAGACTGGAATTTACAAGTGGAAAACAAAATGAAGGGGATATAGGGATGGCTGCACTTAGATGAAAAAGAAAGAAGCAAGGGTCTTTACTCAGCAAAGACACACAAATGCACATAACACCAGACAGTTCGGCAACTCATGCAAGCAGGCCTAGCCTCGTCGATGCAGCACACCGACATGGCTGGGAAAAGGACATTCCTGTCCTTCAGTCAAGAGTCAGTTACTTCCTCTTTGCCCCTCACAGAACAGAAGCTACATAATCAACTTCGTCATTTTTGCATTAAATCATGAGCTGACAATAACTTGTCTGCTAAGTATCCGCCATAATTTTGCAGATTGAATGGGGGGGAGAAGAACCCAGAGTAGTTACCAAGGACAGGAGCTAACACTGTGGAGGGCGAAGAAGGAGCAGGCAGTGGCGCAGAAAAAGCCCCGCCTGCCAATCACGCCAGCCGTCCTGGAAAAGTTGCGAGTGGCATGGAACCGGGTGAACCACACTTCCGTATCTGGAGCCGTTCAGTGAACATATCAGCACTTCAAATGGTTCCGGTAAGGTGATAGCGGGTCTGATGAAGATGAAGGTTATGATGATGATGAAAATTGTGAAATCGCGTATGAGTTAATGCTCGTGTGGAGAAGTTAGGGCATGTATAAAGTCATTGAGCATATTTACAGTATGTACTTGTTAAAGCACCATTGCAAGTATAGTACGGGAATTCTTGAACGAAGATGTGGTCCAGAAGCTGATAAGGCACTACGCCTTGTGCCTTATCAGCTTCTGGACCACATCCAAGTTCAACAAGTGTAAACGGTGCTTTAACTGGTTTGTAGCACAAAACTGGGCAGCTGACTTTCACAGCTTTCTAACCACAGGAAAATGGAGCACGGTCGTTCGCAATCTGGCATTTATAGTACTGTCAGCGCCTTTGATGCTCAAACGCATCATACTACAGATATTGGCTGGAGTTTTGAGGCTTTTTGTATGCTGATCACGTGAGCTTTTACTTGTGTAATCCCTATATATATCATCTACTTTTGCTCTAATACTATAGAGCAACAATGCAACAAGCCCATCCACTGATTTATGAAATTGGAGCAAGCAACGTGTGAGAAACTGGCAACATTTTTTATGTATATAATTTGGCAAGCGAAGCGAGCTTACCTAATAAAATGCTGTGACCCGCACTGCTGCATTGCATACACTTTAATGTTCAACAAGGTTCTAACCATGCGCAAAAAATTCAACATCTTGCTCCACTCACCAAAAATGCAATAATTGGCGAGCGTAGCGAACCCATGTAGTGCAGGAATTTCGTTTTATACAATTAATATATTGTGACCTGCACTGCCACACTACACATTACATTCGCACGAAATCACACACACGCTTCGCTCGCCAAAAATCATTGCATTCTTATAGTTCATTGCTACCAGCGAAGCAAACTTCCATTGTTGTCTAAATGAGAGATTTCAAATAGGTACGAAAACGTGTGCACAATATTGAATTGCTCGTTTTGTTCACCAAAATGTGTTGCATGCTTTCATTCTAGTGTGTGCTGACCTGCACTGCACATACCATAATGTTATATGTGATTCTTAATACACACGAAAAATGCATCAGTAACACTCTGTAACGTTCAACGAACCACCACTCTCCCGCAATGTTTTACGTAATGTTATTTTAGCCAGCTATGTATCTGCCATCAATGACACCCACTCTACCCAGCGGGTATATAGGGTACAACCCGTTTGTTTGTCATGATCCTGCGTGGTAATTTGTACCATCAACAGTGGAACGAACCTCCCTAACTACTATAAGTGCAAAAAACGGGAGGTAACTGTCAAAGAGCGACGAGTCCTTCCTGTTCATAAACCGTGGAACTTGCAAACGACGACTGGTTAGTAACAGAGCTCGCAGAACGCAGTGTCTCACCTCGGAGACAGGGATAGACATGCCTCTATCGATGCCGATCTAGAGAACATGCACGCCACACAGCGCAAACCTTGCAAGCCAGAGAGGAAGACCTCAACCAGCTGAGAACTGCTTTACAACGAAGACAAGCACTGGAAACTGAAGAGTTTCGACTGCATCAAGATCGAGACGGAAAACAGCAATCTTGCAGCTAAAACAACAGAGGATTGAGAGGCTTGACTGTATGGTGCGCAACCATGCAGATTTGTCAAGAACACCATAACTATACAGCTAACGTGGACTTCAAGAGCGATGGAAGTGGTAAAAATATTCCTCTATTCCCAACGTTTCACATGAAACTCTCCTCCTATGTATGTCCACCATTTTCAGTTGCTTCCTTCCCGATCGCCACAATGCTGACATGTGTACGTACAACACAGAATATATAGTAAATGCCTGTTTCCAGCCCATATGGACAAACCTCAGAATGAATGAGGTCATTTCCAAGGAAACACTCTCTGGGAGAGGAGGAAAAGGTTTACCCTCTGTCATAATCCCCAATGGTGGCAAGTCATCCCTAGTCATAGTGTTCAGGTTACATTTTGTAGCTGGCAGATTGTTTTAACAACACTAACCAGGGAAGGTGAATGGTAGCCATCTCATAGACAGTACACCCAAGTCTCCAGATATATTGTGTGGCGCTGTCCTTTAAGTCATGTGCGAGGCTTTGGTCCAGCCTCTCTGGAGGCACATAGCAGCCCCTCTTCTCCATTGTTGAAATTGGCTCTTGCTGTTATCAACATGGTCATGTAAAATTGTTAGGGAAACCAGGAAACTTTTCATCTTACAGGAAGCTTCTCTCTCTCTGCATCTACTAGGCTGATTGATGAAGAGGCACTCAATATCAGTTTTACCATCACTTTGGTTGTTTTGACATCCCTGGATAACATGAATGCAAAAAATGTTAGCCTGTAGCACATGTCTTAGTGTGTGCAACCACAGATAGAGCTATTGTTCACAAAAAGGAAGGCATACACTGGGATGTCGTGCACTGTGCACCGTGGGGAAACAAAAGTCGCATTAAAGAGCCCAGCACTTCCTCAAACGCCACAATCGTACCAGAGGTTCAACAGGGGGAGTTCATTCACACTATAAGAAGATTTTTGCCAAGGTGACAATCAACCTGTTAGAGTTAGCATTGGGAAACAGAACACAAACACATTTGTATAAAAAAGGTTCCATCCTGCATCCCTAGAAAACAGGTTGTAGGTATTAACCCTCCTAACCAGCGCCAGCGTAAATTAATAAGAATTCATGTGACCATGCAACTATATACGAGAGAGATAATGGAAGATTTTCTGTCTAATTCACTGCGCTCAAACGAAATAAAATACGTATATACATTTTTCCTTGCTTCTGTCTCATGGCCAAAACCATGCGGAATCGCCATATTAAGCGAGCTACTTCGCCGAGGGTTTGCACTTTAGTGCTTTCATTGGGTCTGTCTGTCTGTCTGTCTGTCTGTTACTATTCATCTCACTTCTCGAGTGTTCTTTCGTCTCACAAATGATATATACCACCTACGGAACGGGCAATGAAGGTCAGAATTTTTGAGCGGTTTTCTACGCTCCGTTGCAAAGCTGGAGCACTTCCACCATTGTACGGCTAATGCGTAGTCGGCCATTTTTATCGCTGCGGAAAATGCGCATGCGCTTATATTTAGCGGGTCTTAGGCCTGAGACTATTATTCCCACAATTTGTCCGGATATTCTATTCTGAATTTCCTACTCCATATGCCTATTATTCTTTAAAGTTTACCCATTATTCACAGAAATTTACCTATTATTCTGCTTGAAAAATGAAAAAACAGTACTATACAGAGCCGGATCTACCGGATGGGAAGTCGACGCCATTTTATCCACGTGGTGTTTATCCCTGATTCCCTGTCCGAGTCGGAGTCCGTTCCGTTTTGACCCACTCGTGCGCGTGACGCGCGTCCGCGCGTCCACTCGCCCTTCCGCGAGTTGCCGCCGTTGCCGGCTCGTCGCTCGCTTGGAAATTTTCAACCTATTATTCTTGGAATTATTCTTATTCCCAGAGGGACCTATTATTCCCGAAATTATTCTGGAATAATCGACGCAGGACTACCGGGTCTGCTTGCTCTGTGTATTTTGAAGGCACAAGAAGTTACAACGAAGGGCGTCTCTCGCATGCTAATGTACTACTGTAGCCAGCCTGTGTCAGACTCTCTGCGAGCTATATACTACTTCTTCTTCTTCTTCTTCTTTATAACCTCCACTGAAGGAGAGTAGCCTATGGGGTAGGCGATTGAGTGCGGGCAAGTTGATGGCGAAGACGTTCAGTGTGCAAGTTGTGAATAAACTCGACGATCTCTCTCTGTAGAGGTGGATCGTCGATCCACCGACAGCCGAGGATGTACTCTGCAAAACCGGTCGGGTCCGATTCCAATGACGACGCAATAATTTCCGCGGCGGCCAGCAGTGGCGGAAGAATACGGAGGGCGGGGCAGTGCGAGATAAAGTGCTCTATATCTTCTGGTCCAGAGCCTGCAGGTAGGATCTGAGACTCTGTGCCGGAATCTGCAGGTATCAGACTCGAGACCATGGCATTTTACAAGTAGCCGGATCCTGGTGATGTTTCGCTTGGTCACACGCGGGAAGCCGCGACAGACGGATAGATGCGGAATGGTCCTTCCCAGTTTCACCTCCGTGCATTGTGAGAGGGGGATGTGGTCGCATTCAGTCATGAAATCTTCGTACTGAGAGGCTAGTAGTAATCGCTTCACTGTCCTCTTCCACCCACCCTGGCTCCACTGGCCATGAAGGATGACATAAGGGGGAGTCCATGGTGGACCAGAGTATTCTGGATAGCAGGGATCAACCCAATTGATAACGGGTTCTCAAGCCGTTTCCGAATGAGCTGGAGGGGTAGCGAGTCAGGGGGTAGAGACGTGAAGGAGTGGATGAAGTTCAGCTGTCTCTGGTGGATGAAGGCATTGATACTGAAGGTTCCAGTGATGTGCAGAAGGGCCTTAGAGTTGCAGTGGACTGGGAGACCAAGGATCGTTCTCGGTATTTTGCGGTGGACTCTCTCAAACATAATCAACTCCGTTCTGGTGATGTTCTATAACTCACTCCCGTAAAGAAGAACAGGTAGACAGTATGCCTTATACAGACGAAGGATTGTGGCAGGATGAAGACAGCCAAAACGAGCTCCAATGGCATTCAGGCTAAAATAAGCACTCCTGCCTGCACTGCACCGCTCAGAAGTTAGGAGGAGAGTAGATGTGGACACGGAGCGGAGGATGCCAAGATGATGATGGGAGTCTTTCTCTGGTATTGTCTCTCCGGATACATACCATCTCCGTGATTGACGGAGGAGGACTCTGGAATTCTTGGACTCTCCTATCACCAAAACAGCTGACTTTAGAGCATTGAGTTCATACCTCCAATCCGCAGCGTATGCTGACACAATGTCTAGCATGTGTTGAAGGTCTGCCTCAGATTCGGATATCAGAGCCAAGTCGTCTGCATACATGGGTGCTCCACAGAAGACTTCGTCAATCCAGACTCCATAACCAGAGGAAGAGAGCTCTACCAGAAGGTCGTTGACGAAGATGGTGTACAGAGATGGAGAGTGGACAGCACCTTGACGAACCCCTTGATGTACTGGGAAGGACCGGGAAAAGTGGAAGAGTTCCAAAGAACGGAAGAGGAGCAATCTGTATACCATTTAGAGGGATGAGCCTCAGATGTAATGAGGGAAGTCGAAGTTCAGGAGTTTTAGCATCAATCCTTCACGCCAGACTGTGTCATATGCTTTTTTGACGTCCAGGAAGGCTATTGTAAGCTTTCTTTCTGGCTACGTCAGGTGATGAATTACTTCCTGTAAAACAAACGGCTGAATGGATGCAACTTGTTTTTGATCTGAAACCGCCTTGAAGGGATGGATGTTACTCATTTGGGTGGATGGGTAGTCGGTGACAGGAGGGTTTTTCGATAGCTTGCTACAAGACGGGAGCAGGGTGATTTATCCTCATAGTTAGAGCATCAATGCTTCTACCCTTCGGGACAGGGATGATAATCCCTACGGAATGAAGTAGGAATATGGCACGAGCGAGGAGAATTGCATTAAAGAGTCCTGTGCAGGAGTGTAGTCGGTCTGATGTGAGAGAGGCGACCAGGAGCAACGTAGAGTGAGTCAGTTGGAGATGATTGTCCGCTGTGCGACCTGTGTACAGCCTTCACTCAGCGTGGCAGAGGCAGAGCATAAGGACCTCAATTGTCACCGTTTGTGTAAGTCAGGCAGCGCTCGGTGACGGGTGGGTCCTTGGGTGTGGTCGTTTGGCGGTGGTCGTCCGCGTGGCTACCGCGACTTTCATGCGCTCGACACCGTTTGCCGGACAACGCACGACAGCCCTCTTGCGGGTCTCTCGACGTCCCTCGGAGGATGTCCCCGGCACGGGCTGCCTGCCACTCACCCTCATCGACGGAGCCTTCCGCGCCTTCACCACTTTCCTGCTGGTTTTTGTGTGTAAGAGCCCAGTGGCACCACGGACGATATAGATGGTGGATGGCGGCTGGACAAAGCGAGCGAGGTCAGTTGCGCTGGACGACGAGAAAGTGGTCTAGCGAAAAAACAAAATGCTCGGTGAGCGCCGTCCATCTCCAGAGCTCCGGTCCAAAGAATTGTACAACAGTCTTCGTCGGCAAGCTTCTTATGTAGCCCGTAGTGTGAGCTCTGAATTCTCTCTTGGACTGTTGTAGGACACCCGAGCAGGATGGTTAGAATCACGGGGACCTACCAGCCTCTACCAGACCCGGTATAAATTGTTTACACCTTCTGCTCGCTGCTTTAAGGTGGGGCCACACCCAGGACGCTTGGTAGGAAGGGTGAATGCTTTCGGAGGAATGTTTCTGGACGTGGTGAGAAGTGTTTCGGTTAGCATAGTCAGATGGTGATCTATAAGACAGGGGGGTCTGGGACAGGATTATTGTTGGTTGGAGGTTACTCAGCATGTCTCCCAAACGTTGAAGGGGTGTGGAGTAGAGGGAGCAAACAGCTTCCTCAGACACTGAGTTCCAGCTACGTGAGGACGGAGTATAGACTTGCTCACTGACGATGGGATTTGAGGTGGTTGTGATGATCCTGAAAGAGTAATATTGGGAGATGGTCTGACAAGTTGAGGTGGTGGTCAGGTAGGGGGTGGGAGAAGTTCACTCTCGGAAGGAGCCTTTCCTGGCACATGACGTGATCGATGGTATATAGAGAGGGTGCCATGGGCTTCACTCTCAAATGTGTGAGAGGAAGATAGGTGGGATTTGTGAAGGTGGGTAGAGACAAGGTTCCAGCTCACCATGAAAGGTAGTAATATTCTCCCTTGCTCATTCAATCTGGTGGTGGAGAGGGGCCCTCCCTGGCTTCCTGGGTCAGCATTAAAGTCCCCAAGGATAATGATGTCAGATAAGGGTGGGAGGGGTCCCAGTACTGTGTCTAGTTGGTCAATGATTCGTCAGTGCATCCAGACCGACTGGGGAGGTAGACTGAGAACACAAACACTGGGACTGGGTAGAGTTGGATCTCAATTCCAATCGTTCGGTGGGAGGACACAATGGGAGTCGGTTTGATGAGGTGGTCTAGTCGGGAGTTCCATCCTATGGCTACTCCACCGTGGCCTCTAAGTAGTTGGGGGGTGCAAAATAACGGATGTTCCTGGCGTGGCGGGCACTCCGCTAGGAACCTGTAGTCAGGGTGCAGTTCCTGGATCTTTTGGATGTTGTAATCGTGTAACCAGAGTTCTGAGATTGCAATCAAGTCCGGGGAGTGGTGATTTAGAAGGAGTTATAGATACTGATGATTGGAAGATAGTCCACGAGCATTGAGACAGCAAACTATTATACTACTAGGAGACGGTAGATTTGGGTAAGTATACGGGTGCGAGTTTTCGTGTGATGAGTCTTGGAGGGAGATTATGGGGAGCGAATTAAGCCGTAGAAGTGTGCTCATTGGTACATTGGCAGGATCTCGTGAACTCTGATTTACTGTGCAGGTAATTGAGGGGGAAGGACTCAATTGTGGCAGGGAAGGTTCAATTGGGGTAGCCCTGGAAGTTGATGCGGAGTGTGGCAGCGATCTAAAAAAGAGCTGGAGTGAGGGGGGATTGGAGGGGGGCTGGTCATATCGTCATTGTTGCACAACTATGTTTTGCAAAAGTTGGCTGTTGACTGAAACTTGGTTTGTAAAAACTTTCAAGTCACTACTTGAATATAGACACACTGCTTCCTTTTGGATGTCATCATCAGCTTGTTTCAACATAGCTCTATAAACAGTGATAAAGGCTAGCCAATGACCCACCACTGCATGTGCAACCAAGAAAACATTTGCCTGCAAAGAAAATTGAAGGAGGTAGATTCGCCTTCTCTTGCCTTCCCGCAGCTCAGCAACAAGTGGTGGTAGTAGCCCGGCCAGTACCTACCACTACAAGTGAACATTGATAAGTAGCACTTTGAGTAGTTCAATGATTCCACTGGCGAGTGTGCCCGTGTGTTTACGGTCGCTGTGGTCATTACTGCCATTTGTGCTGTGATCTGCAACCTTGCGTAGCTGTTTTGCCATGGCTTTCTTCCAGGGTATATAAGCGATGAGTGTCAAAATTAGCATGTTCACATTATGTACTATGATGTATTCCACAGTTGCCAAATCATTTTAACCTGTCATGGCAGCTCTTTTTTTCTGGTCCTGAGTGTCACTGGAAATAATTACTAGGAGTTGTGTTTACTCCCCATGATTCATGCTAAGTTCTGATTATTGCAGGCCATCCATAGAGCATCAAACAATGACACAGTCGGTGAAATTTTATTCCTTATAATGTCTTTGGTTACAGGTGGTATTGGTTTGGTGATAATGCAGTATAATATCTGTGTTGGAAGACTGCCACAATCAAACCTAAATTATGTATGTGTAATACTATCCTTGTTATGCAACACTATATATATACTTTGTACTATTATGAACATTTTAAGGGAAAAGTAGCCTAGCCAGTGAAGAGATTATAGAAGGTTAAAGTTGGTTTCACAGATGTCTTGCTTTTTTGTGGTTATGCTGTTCACTCAGTATACCTAATTTTATTGTTGTTTCAATAATCAAAGGGTGAGACGGAGAAATGAAATGATTGCATAAAAATTAGAGCTACAAAGTCAGCCAGCTATCTGCGACCACTTTTGAAACTTTCAAGTACCTGTAGAAAACATCATTGCACAGGGTCATCACTATGCCTAGCTGTAACTATGATTAGACAAAAACATGAGTTAACTGCAAGAGGAAATACATTACAGCTAGCCTTGTGCATCGTCAATAAATGATGTGGTGTCCAACATTGTACTTACTCATGATAGAAAGATGGGAAGTGTCCTCATTGGTAATCCCACGCGATGTGCTGCTGGCCAGGCAAGTGTAGGCACCACTATTCTCCCGTGTCACTTGCGTCAGAGCCAGCACCGAGGAGGTGGGGCCAGAGTCTTTGGCAATCACACGCACATTCCGGGGGAGTGGCCCGTCGTCAAAAGTCCAGGTGAAGTTGGCGGGGTCATTGGCGGTACAAGAGAGGAGGAGAGACTGGCCAGGGAAGTGGGTGGACTCCAGTGGACTTAGAATTAGTCCAAGGTCCTGTTCCGGGTCTGGGAACGTACAGTGTATGTGTAACAAAATTAATAAAGATCCATACAGAGCCTAAAAGGTGGGGGGAGATATTCAGTTTGCTTGCAAGCCCATTGTTGAGTTCAAAACCCATGCAGTGTTAAAAGTACATGAAAATACCTCATGGAATCAAAATTTGACTAACGATGAAGAATTACTAATCAGTACATACTCCATAATGGGTTCTCACCATAAATCTCCAGCTCTATAGTGGCAGCAGCGTTGTAGGTCTCACCCAGGTGGGCAAGACAAGCATATACTCCACCATTCTCTCCCTGTGTCACTTGACTCAGCTGCAAGACCTTCACTCCAGGCTCTGGGCTCTCCAGCTGGCTGTTGGCTGGCACCTGGCCCCCATTGAATGTCCACACCACTGTGGCTGGTTGAAAGTAAAGGAAAAACAAATAGCATCTTGGCAAAAATAACTGAAGTTAATACAAGTTTGTAGCAATACAAAACACACTCATATATCACTCAACATGCGCTCATGTGCTTTCTAACTAATGCCCCAAGGTAGAATAAACATTTTTGTGGATGAAGCTACTATTTACCCTAAGCAAACGTCCATTACAGGTGTGAATGCAAACATAAATGCAAACAAGGGGCCACGAGGCTAACACAAATCGTCAACTACACCCAGGACAACTCTTTGTCTGAGTTTGTACAGCTACTTGTGTTCATACCTGTGCTGTTGTCAGCAGAGCAGGTGAGGAGAACATCAGTCAGAGTTTCAGCCACCAGAGGATTAGAGACTTGAGGTTCGATTCTCAGAGAGAGGGGAGCATCAGGCGTTGAGGGCTTCGGTGGTTCTGTGGGTGAATGAAAGAGAGAGAAAGGTGGGAGTTGTAGCACTCATTTGTTATGGTACGTACTAGTTTAGTGTCTGCACTGCAACACACTCCCTGTTCTCTAATGCTCAAAATACCATCCTTCACCGAAGTTTGAACTTGGTGTCATGTGGAAAAATTTCTCTATAAACAGTGACTCAAACACCAGCTCCGTGGGAGATCCACTCAAACGACAGTCCCAAAACACCCATTTATATGTTTTTGATACCTAAGACTTTAATGAAACAAACAGCACTAATCGAACAGCACAGTGTTTTTTCCCCAACATCTTGCAATTGCTGTCTGCCTTCAGGGTTAACTGGCAAATACTCAATAAAAGCCCTTAGTTGCCGTGCTCCAACTTGTGCTGTGATTGTGTCTCGTTTCTGTTGAGCTCTTCTTGCCTGGCCCAATAAATGTATGCTGTATGCAGTTACACTATACTGCCATGCCACTAGTATATCGCAATCTGTATCTTTGTTCACACACAGCTATAGTTTATGATACGGTGCAAGGGAATACAGCTGTATCTTTGTTCATTCCTTCTATTGGTAGCATGTGTGCATGAGTATTAATGTGGACTAGCTCAGGGGAGAGCTGAGAGACCTTATGTATTAGGAGGGAGCCGGTAATTATAATGAACGCGCCAGCACCCAGTGACAAACACAAAGAAACACACCTGTAGTTTGTGTACATACGTACCAGCTGAATCATCTTGACAGAATGATGAAGGTGTGCACAGAGGCCCTGAAGGTGAGCAGGAGCAGTTGAAACAACGTGACAGTTGAGAGACTATCTCTTCCACTTTAGCACGAACAAATGCAGCAGTAAACGACACAGCAACTGCATTCCCTGCATGGAGCAACAAATTTAAAAAAGAGGGAATCATGTAGGTCAATGAGAAGTGCTGAGAAAAATGGGAGATGGGAGAGGTGAAACTACGAACTACGTTGATCAGGCATTTTGTCCTTTAGTCCTCTCTTTGGAAGTTGAATTGTACTAAAAGTGCAACATCTTGATCGAATCTCAAAGTGTATTGAGAGGTTTTTTTTCTATTGTGCCCCGTTTATCTTTTATCGGAGGTCCTACTGTAAAGCGTCTCACCATGTCTGAGGATGCTGAGATCCCAGGCTCCTCCCCCAGTGTCCAGGGCCAGTTGGGTGTAGTCCCTGTGAGTGTTCCTATGTCCACTGTCCCTCACTGCCTCTCCCTCCTCCTCCACCACCCTGTACTTCACTGGTGACGAGGGGTCATACACGTAGCCCCTACCATATGAGTCAATCCCAAGTGCCCGCAGAAGGGCACCGGTACCACCGGCAGAAAACTCCTCATTTACAGCTACATTCAACATGACAGACCCTCCTGATAGAGCTGCCACTATTGAATCTCGTGTCAGGTTGCCATCCACTACATCCCTGTCTTCGTCAGTGATGAGGACAAACTGTCTAGCAGCTCCAGGCCTCAGTGGGTATGACATGAGGGCAGTATATATGGCACTGTAGCCATCCTCTCTGCGTCCACTAGAGGTGAGTCCTTCAGAGAGCTCGGTGAAGTTGGTGGAGAATGAGAACTGTGCCCCGCCCACAGCCGAAAGGACTCTCCCCAGACCCACACCGTCACTGCAGTCACCACCAAACCCCACCAGACCAAACCTGTTGGACTCCACTCGACCCACATTCACTTCCTGCATGGAGGAGCAGACTAGTTTTAGTATGGGAATAACAAACATCTATAATTGTATATCTGTCCCATGATCAGTTGGTATCTATAAGGGGGAATATTCATCCTCTCCCTCCTAGATGTATAAAACTACCCTGAAACAATGGCTCAAATGTCTTTGTCAAAATGGCCAATGGCTGTTTTGGACACCTTTCGTACATACACAGCTGAACAGCACATTTGCAGTGTTGTTTAGGTCGTATATAGTAATGCGACAGTGCAAATGTTATACCTGTTCACTCGCCACAAATGGTAACTTTGCATGCACATGTTATGGATAGGTACATTTCTGACCACAACTGTAAGAGTCCACTTTTGAAGAGGGAACACGTCCCCAGCCGCTCTGCCACATCACACTCACATACAGTACATTGAGCCCATTGCTGTTCAATATTTCCTAACCTGGAGAGCAGTGTCGAGTTCCCTGATCATCCCAGGTATCCAGTCATGCTCCATGACCATGGAGCTGGATTCGTCCACCAGGAGAATCACATCAGCCGCCAGAGTCTGGTCCTCGGGAGACAGAGTCACCAGCGTGACACTCTCTCCCAGGTTTAACACATGGCCTCCTGCCAGGAAACACCTCGACTCTGTGGAAGGGAGAAGAGCAACTGGTCTATCTACTGTGATGGTTAATTGTGAAACAACAACTCTAGAGCCAAGTCTGTTATCTGCTTCAAGTACTTTAGCGTAAATATCCTGTGTTTGTAAAATTCTTTCTAACACCCCTGAGCTGTTGACATGACCTCCACTATAGTGAACATTAACTGCAGCTCACTTACATAAGGAAAACATGAATTGCAGACAGCTCTCCTACCTTCATGTCCCAAACAGCACTAATACAGTATATACAAATTGATAGCATTTCACAGGTTTTGCCCTTTCAGCACAAATTGGGTGCATTTTACTTTTTTGCTGATAGTAATTCCTTTTCTTGCTTGTGTCATAGACTAATTACGGTAAAATATGTAAGTCCCACTGGTTACTGGTGTCTACACATTCATGCATACCTGGGGCAGGTCCAACACAGTTCTTGAGTGGCACGTTCTCTGTTACGCTACACTCTGGACCAGACTTCCCACACAGACATCTCTCACACACCCTCAGCACCGACATCACCTCCGCTATCTTCACCTCTGCAAAGGCCCGGGCTAGAGCTAACGACAGGGGCTCTCCCTCAGCAACAAAGTTGAGATCCCAGGCAGCACCTCCAACATTAAAAGCAAGGTCAACATAGTCAGCAAAAGTGTCAGGGAAGAAGGTGAAAGGACTAAAGTTGACCGATCCACCAGGAGACGAGGAATAGAGGGTTGGGCTGGAAGGGTTAAAGACGTATGCAGTCTGGTTACTGTCTAGCCCCATAGCATGCGAGCCTTCATCAGATGGGTCTGCGAGGAACCCCTGGTTAACGACGACATTGAGGACGTAGCCAGACTCTCTAATGATGTTCTGAATGGTGTCTCGGTCGAGGTCCTCCCGGATGACCCGACGGTCCTCGTCAGTCACCAGGACCATCAGCCTCACTGTGTCTGGTCGTGGCTGTGTGTTGACAATGGCGTACTCCAGAGCTGCGTAGCCATCCTCCGCTCCGCCAGATGTCTGGAGGAGATCCAGGGCCTCAAGGAACACTGTCTGGTGGGCAAAGTCGGAGAGGACAATACCAGTCACACCGCGGACACTGTTGCGACCGAATCCAACGAGAGAGAAGAGGTTTTGTCGTGTTCCGGCCCCAACACCTGCACTCTGGAGCAGATAGTCCAGTTCAGACACCACCTGCAGTCATAGTGTAGGACATAAACTGATGACTCAACACCCAAACATGCAGAAATGGGGGGCCAGCAGCACATCTCTCTTTTCAGCAAAATTCTTACCACAAAACAATACATACCAAATGAGAAATCTACACTAAAACAACAGAGTTAGGTAACATTGGGTTTACAGTTTCCGCTTTGCACAGGGCCTTGTCCCGTCAACAAAACTAATCTGTGTTAACGAAGAAGAGTCACACCTCTCTAATCCACAAAACCTCCATGTCGATGGATCCAGACTCATCCACTACCAGAACCACATCAGCAGCTGATGTTTCTGCTCCTCCACTGGCTGCAAAGTTCTGGTGATAATACGACTCCCCTATCCTGTACTCTGACCCTGCATGGTCCCTGCAGGATCCTGAATCATACAAAGTAACAATGAACTAGACGAATGCACCATTTGATGTTATAGACTTGCATGCTGCATTTCACATGTAGTTTCTTTACATGTTTGTTTTTAACCCAGGCAACCAAAGAGTGATGTGCATAGTTCCATCAAGGCTGCTTTCCCCTCTCTACACCACAGAACATTGCTGGCCTGGCTACTATGACAGCTTCCCTGTGTTCCCTCATTGCAAGTTTAAGAGCTCAGCAGGGTCTTATGCTCCATATGCATACAATTCACCTAGTGTACTAGCCCGTACAGTTCATTTGGCCAATATGAGCACAAGAAAGAGCAAAAGAAGCGGCAGTCAGCTGCCCTCCTCCATTTCATTAAGTTGAGCACATTAACATGAACTAACTCTCTGACTTGATTAGCCAAAACACAATACAATTGAGCTGAGAAACAGTTTTTTGTCATGTCTGCTCTATAATTCCACAGTGCTAGCCAGCAGGCATGTCCAGTTCACAGACGCCAATAGTCAAAACATGGTTATTTTTGGTTTAATTGTATCATAATATAGCGGGAAGGGTTTCTGCCTCGACGTACAAACACTAAAGAAACGTATATTAATACAATTAACTTTAGAAACACACATACAATACTAAATTTCACTGGAGTAACTTTGCAAATTTATCCTGAGAAAAATATCATGCTACACATAATATATCCCACCCTCTCATCTCGAAGACACTGCGTGCTCCTTATTACTGTCATACGGAGTTCAGAACATTAAAAATAGATTTGCGAGATCCTTAATACTGTCACCATGGAGTTCATGACATTAAAAATAGCTTTGCATACTCCTTATTACTGTCATCATGGAGTTCAGAACCATTAAAAATAAAAACAGTTCTTGTATAACCAGCTGATCAAATCATAGCCTCAGACCACAAATATACCATGATCTGAGCAGATGGACCTACTGTTCTGTGGATACCACAATCATTTTATGAAACCTGACAGGGCCCTTGCATGCAGAATTGCAATGTACCTACACACGAATTCAAGAACACCCATATGCTCCTGATGCAAGTGTCTTCATAAAGACAGAAGCATGCACATTACTGAGCACATAATAATACATCAAATCTTGCATAATATCATAGCCATACCTTGATTATCACTGCCAGTGGTTGGAACCTGTAGAAAACGTACACACATGTACATGTACAGTTGGTGTGAAAGATTGGCAAAGGGGTTAACAGTGCATGTTACAGAACATGCAGTAGGCAATGGCCAGAGAATTTGTTTACAATACACTCTGAAGAAGCAATATCTCAACTGCAACACAACTGAACACATTCCAAATGTACTTTGATTGTATACAAGCAATCTCGCCCTCCATGGCTTTAAGGTAGACTCCCCAGTGGCTCCTTAATCTCTGACACATGAATATGTATACACTACCTGAGTTTACCAAGGGAGGGAGGAAGAAGCCCTTGTATATAAACACCTCTGGAACATCTGGCTGAGCACTAGTATCAAGTCACAGATGAGTATAAACAAAGGTTGTGACACCACCTGTCTAAGTGAATCATGCAATGCCAACTAAACCACAACTTCTCCAGAGGCAGTGACTAGAACAATTCTACAAAGAGTCAGGGACAGTGTGTGGGTGTATGAGCCTCAACAGGTGTCAATGTTGACGAGAAAGATTTATGTAGGTCTTGGCTCTCCATGGATAGGTATGTGTACCGATCATACAGTGTACCGCTCCTTAGTAAGAAAAGAGTGAGTCTAGCAAACATGAGGTCTCAACATCTATGCATACAAGTATAAAAATGTACCCCGACAGGTAGTAATGCACCTGATTCAACGTGAGCCACATGGCTACCTCAAGTTGGCAATAATCACATTAAATTTGGCAAAAATGAGCCAACTTTGGCTAAGCCAGAATTGGCACACCTCCACGCTGCAGTGACAGTACCCACTGCCATTTGTGACAGTGTAGCTAGAACACCTTGAGCAGTGATAATGTAGAGGCACCTTTTCAGCAATGGATGACACAGTGATATGTCACAGTTTATGCAGCATGAACCATACACATAATTATGTTGACTATTATCCCAAGTGAACTTTTTTGATGTGCATCATAGACATGAACACGTAACTATATTATTTACCTGTTGTGCATTGGGAGAAACAAGCAAAACAGCAACGACGCAGAATGTAGAAACTAGATTCGGCCATTTGGACACAATGAGAGCTTGCATCGTATATCACACTGCCTGCAGAGGAGCTGGATTCCGCACAACACTAACCTAACCACAGGAACACAGCGCGACGGTCTAGCCTAGCCAAGCCCACATCTCTGGAAAATCTGCGCATGTTCAGTATCCAAGCGCGGGGGGCGCTCACGCAGTGGTGTACGTGTTGAAGCGGAGAGTGCTTGCTGAAGCAACTGGTCGGTGGAGGATGGCTGGGAATCCGCCGTCGAGGCATCTCTGGGTCGGCGGACTACCGGAGGAAATAGGGGAGGCGGAGATCAAGGAGCTGTTTACTAAGTGGGTTGTCAGAAACTTTCTGAATTGTGTACTGTACTCCCGGCCCAACACCCTTACGGCTGTCCTTACTTCCCAGGTACGGCAAGGTGGAAGGCGTGAAAATCTTGCCCCAACGCTATCCTAACCAAGGCGTTGCAGCCTTTGTTGACTTCTACGACGTTCGTAGTGCAGTGGAGGCCAAGGAGGCTAAGATAATCTACGGCGGCTGCGACCTACGCACGAATTTCAAGACAAAGTCGACAGAGAGATTCGATAAGTACGATCACTTGCCCAGGAGAGAAGAGTACGGAAAGGAACCGCCAATTTACTCGGCAAAGCGTGTGATCTCTCCATCTCCGCCACCGGAAAACGAGAAAGAGAGAAACAACAAAGATAAAGAGAAATCTCGTGGGAAGGACAGGTATATCTGTGGGATGATTGGCAGGGAAAGGTGTTTGTGTTGGACTTAGCTAGGGTGTGCTCTATTTAGATTAATCATCAGTTTGCTCTTTTTAGAGAGTAGTAGTGCGACCATTCAATCTCAGTATCTAGTTAGTTGTACAACTGAAGAAGGGATAATCATCAAGTTGAGGAGCTCTAAAAGTTTATCTTTGTGTGGACACGGTTCAATGGAAGTGAAGACTTGAAGAAAGATGTTGAATTGAACACCTTATTCAATGGAGAAGACTCTGTACCACACTGTTTGAAGGATCGGCTTGAGAACAGGAGTGTGTCTTAGTGTGTAGCCTGCTGTTTTGTTGTATGTGAATCGGAGATGCGCAATCGTTTGTGTCGTGATTGCAAAAGTTGCAACCACTTGCATGGGTACGCGTGTGGTGTGCTGAGTTTCGAGGTGAGTCAAATGAACTATTGTGAACACCCTGTCATTTCAGAGGTTAAAGAGGTGCACTGTGTAATAGTATCGTGTACTTCGTCAAGGGCTAGCATTGTATGGTGAATTACGTCCCTGTGTATTTGTTTGTGTGTAGCTCATCCAGTAGTTCCAGTAGCAGCAGTAGTAGCAGTGGGAGCACGACCAGTGATGGCTCCAGCTCAGAGTCAGAGGGCGGCACAGGGACCAAGAAATCTCGCAAGAAGAGCAAATCTGAAATTGACAGTCTGTTTCTAAAGATCACCAACCTCTCAACAAACAGACCCGGTATACATATACCTGAGTCAATAGGGGGAAAAACTGGTATATGGTGAAGCCGGCCCCTTACAAGTAAATAAACAATTGTTTGTAGAAATAGTGAATATAAGGATGGTATAAAAAGCAAGGAGACAAGACAGGCATGACCTAGTAAACATGATGCAGTAGTACAATGGATGATGACTACATACTTTGAACTGACATCACTTGCTCGTGTAAATTTCCTCCACACGAGCCCTATATTGTCGCGAAGTACGAGTGTATGATGCACAGCTATGATATTTCTTGGACAGGTAGTGCCCTCTCTTCTGTTTTCAGCTCTGACTCCATTCTAAGACTTCCCTTCTACATTTGCTCAACTACAATGCTGTGTTCTTGGCCATCTACAGAATCCCTTCACTATTGTCCTCCCACTTTACACATTTACTCATGTCAGTGAGTATGTAGGTGGTGACAATATAGGGCTTGTGTGGAGGAAATTTCCACCAACAAGCAATGTCAGTTCGAAGTATGTAGCCATCATCCATTGTACTACGTTCACTAGGTCATCTCTGTCTTGTCTCCTTATACCATCCCAATATTCACCATTTTTAAATTTACTTGTCTTTCCTTTTTTTACTGCATTCACATGCATAGTGTGCAATAGAAAGGAAATACTTTGGGGCATAATGCCCATAAAAAGTAACATTAGTGGCCTTAAGCCATCGCCTCAGACGTTTGGTCGTCATCGTATGTTTCTTGTACATCAGTGCACCAAGTTTCATTGTGAGAGGATTCATTGTGAGAGGACCCACCATAAGCAAGTTTATAGGAACAAACACAGTTTACACAAGTTTTTATTGCCTGAGGCTGTTTTTTGTTGTTCACAAACTTGTAATTTCTGTTTCGATGAACTCTCATCATGGTACATCAGTGTACCAAGTTGCATTGTTAGTGGACCAACCATTAGCAAGTTAGAGGCACAAACACCATTTAATTGCCTGAGGCTTTTTGTTGTTGTTTACCAACTTGTTGTACGAAGTTTTATCACTCTGGGTATTAGGTTTACCTAGTTAGCACACTTTATTGGTCTATATCATAATGTATGGCCTACCGTACTTAGTGATACATTTTGTTCAAATCCAGAGCGAGTGTTGCAGGATGGGTTGTACTATGAGTTCACAAGGTACTGTCCCACTGCCGTTGTTCGGATGTATGGAGAGGGCAAAGGTGCTTCAGCTGTGGTCAAGTTTGCCTCGTAAGCTCAGAAGAGTTTTAAACTGCGAGATTATAGGCATTGGCCTCCTTTTTGCAGGAAGGAGAGCTGTAAGAAGGCATACGTAGAGGCACAAGGCCTGGTGTTATTTGGCAATAAGTTAAAGCTTTCGCCAGTAAATCGAGATGGTAAGATGTACCATTGCTTACTGCATGCATCTAGGACTGTACATGGTTGAAAAGTCCTTCATGTACTGACATTGCATGTTAAACCATATTATTCAGACTTCCCAAGTGGAGGAAGAGACATCCAGACTGTCCAGGCAGCTGCTCATAAAGGCTACACTCCTGATGACATTGACCCTCAGGTACACTTGTCTAGTGGAAATGCTTGTTTGGCAGGTGGAGTGTACATACAGTGGCTTCCACTCCCCAGGCAACACACTCTCTGTTTGTGGGTAATATTCCAAAGAACATCAGTGTTTATGAGTTGAGGGATATCTTCCAAAGATTTGGTGACGTAGTGGTGAGTACGTACATCTTCTATGTACATGTTTGCTTGCAGTAAATACCATACAGAACCGGGATTGCTGTAGCCATCTTCGGCAAAAACACTGCATGTGCAACTGCCATGTAACTATCATGGCAAAGAGTGGCTATTTTTAGGCAAATGTTGAATGGTATAGCATTTAGTGATTAACCATGAACTCTCCCCTTCATAAAGAACACGTTTGGGTTGCTGTCCTGCTATGTAGATAGGTCCTCTGCGTTTGTGGAGGCTTGTATGACTATAACGCACTGTTTATTTACATACATAGGATGTTGAGATCAAGAAGATGAGTGGGAACGCCACCTATGGGTTTGTGCTGTTCTACGACCTGCTCTCTGCTGTGTCTGCCAAGCAGTTCATGGATGGAGAGAACATTCATGGCCATAGCATCAGAGTCAGTTGACAGAGCTTACCCTGGGTCTCTGTGCACAATCTTGCATGTACTTTATTCTAAGTTTAATAGCCCTGCTTATTGTGTGCAACAAGTGTAGTCTCGGTTTATGCACCACTGTGCTCCATTCCGAACAGTCATTTGAAGGACTGTGGCTGCGTACATGTGTAAGCCAGCTGAGCTGGTCTTGATTTTCACGTGGCCACTGGCCAGATTACTCACAGACGCAACTGCGAGTGCCTTCCTCTTAAGCCAGCTTGCAATTGAACTATGGTCATTTCATCCTGATGAAACGGAATGGAGCAGTCTGTCACTTATTAATGAGGCATACATACCATAGGTAGAATGTTGTGAGCAGTGGTGTCAAGCTTTGTTCTATCAAACACCAGGTAGGGTTTGGGAAGGGGACTCCGAGCAAGATGCTGTGGGTTGATGGGATTGACGCTGACATGTCGGAGTCTGTGCTGGAGAGGGCCTTGGGCAAGTATGGCAAGGTTTGTATGAGCTAAAGAATTTTAGGTGTGTAATGTCCGTGAATGTGCCAGCTTATGATGATGTAGGCAGAATGATACAAGTGGTGGCCTATAGCTCAATTTGCGTAAAATTCCATGGTCCTAGTCAAGATTCTATAGACAACAGTGCTACTGCAAAAGCTCACTCTTGTTCTAGTACCATAGTGAAGATGAGGTGCATGGCCTTTGTTTTATCACCTTTTCAACATGTTTCCCCTGCATGTGCTAATATGTTTAGTGCACATCTTCTGTTTGTACATACCCCGCACTAAGTCTGGTTAGCCTACATGTGATGGTGTACAATACAGGTGGTTCGTCTTGGTATTGACCGGCAGAGGAGCTCAGCCATGGTCCAGTATGAGAGCATTGATGCAGCCAAAGAGGCACTCAGTGGAGTGAAGGGAACCTTCATTGGAAATAGCCGAAGAATTATGGTAAGATCTTGCAATCGACATTTTTGGTGTAATAATATGCATGAATGATGTCCGTGACTACAGGTTCCTTACACCATGCACATGAGTGTTAGAATCGTTGCCGTATAACATAGACATTGTAATAGACTGAATTTTTGAAATATGCAATATGCAATGGTTTTTCCTTATGATAGACTGACTTTGCCAATCGGGATGCGAGGGCTGCCTTCTTTGCCCGTGTTGAGAGTGGGGATCAGTTGGGACCTCCCAGATTCCCTGGCCCAGGTATATATATATACAGATAAACTAAAACTGTTGCTTACAGAGGGGGAGCGCCATGGATCCCCCCCATAAACAATGTAAGCCGTGAACAAAGGTGTCAGAATACATTTACTCAAGAAAACACCCCAGTCTCTCCATCTTCCATCCATAAGCAACCGAAATGTATAAAGCTGAGGGATTTTACCAACCCATACAATCCTGTGCATGCATACTGGTTTCATGCGTACATGTATGGTATTGTAGAACAATGGTTTTGTAAGACACAAGTCCTGTTACGTACATTGTGTATTATAGGGATGTATGGCCCTGGTGGGATGGGACCTGGACCTCGTGGCATGATGATGCCCCGCCCTGGAGTTCCCATGATGGGCATGGGACGAGGGGGGTTCCCTCCCATGGCTGGCCCACCCATGGACATGTACTACTACAATCCCTACATGGGGGAGGGGGTGGGATTCTATGGTGAGAACACTGTTGGTTTGTGTATGTGCATACGATGTGAAACAGTGAGCTATTGGGTGGGCCTCTCTTGCAAGGGTTAGTAAAAGAAAAAGGAGTGTTTTTGGCACTTTGCTTATATTGAAGGGGATACTTTTATAGTGAACCCTCGGCGCGCATGCACAGCGAGGGTTACAGTAATTGGTTTGTCTGTCTGTGTGTCGACGCTTATTGCGGCTCTACAGGCAACAAGGCGGCCTATTAGTGATACCCGCGACTTCAAGACTACACGAACCTGAAAATAAAGGTGATTTTCCTGAAACAACTGCGTTTGAGAGATATGCTGTGAAAACAAGCGAAAAAGCCAATATCCATAATTGAAGTGGGCTTACCGCGACCTGATCCGCTTTCTCTATGTACCTTGGCGGCATAAGAAGTCCCAACAAAGGGTGTGTATTGACTCCCGCATGCTATCTTATACATAGTGTAGCTAGCCCGTGTCACGAGCTACTTGCATAGAGACCACGAGTGTAAATGCAGTGATAACCCAGCCCATCAATTAGAAGTACTGCACATGCGCAGTGCGCCGAGGGTTTGCACTTCAGTGCTTTTCATTAATTTTAGTGAAGAATGTGTACGTCTACAGACGTACAATTTTACGGACATTGAGCTAGCTGGTAGCTAATACTCCATACATTTCAGTGGGAGCAGTGGAAAATGCAAGATTTACTGTGGTTTCCGAACAATTACGGATGATGCATACATGCAAGCGCTGCACCTGAGCAGAGCCTTGTGGGGATGAATCTCATTAGTTCAAAACCACAAGTGCTGCACTCAACTTTGCCTTTATAAACTCGTGATGCCAGAGAGAGAAGTTGGTATACTTTGCTGATGAGGCCCGAAACAGCTGTCCAGAGCTCCCCATCTTTTTTCTCTTGGCATCACATGGTCTATTGTTACGTAGCTGCACCCTAATGAGCACATTTTCAAACAATCTTTCATGCTTATTTGATGCATTGTTGTAACCCCGTATTATGGGATTTGGGGGGACAGAAATATTAGTATAATTATCCAGTGCTATATACGTACGGTAACTCATACTGTACATCCTTTGTTCATGACCGCTACTCTTTTCAGGAGGGCCCCATTTTCCACGAGGTCCTCCCATGAGGGGCATGAGGAGATTACACCCGAGGGAACGAGGGGGTGGGGGGCTGGGGGGCGGGACCCACTTCGAGGAGTCCTACGACGACTATGGAGATGAGCTGAGGGCCTTCAGCAGAAAGAGGGAGATTGAGAAGGAGGAGAGGAAGTGGAAGGAGCACAGGAGACGACATTCCTCGTACGACAAAATGTTTTTAATTGTTGTAAATAAATAATGCCCGTGACTTGCTCGTTCAGAGTGCATGTCAGATGATAAGGCTATAGGTCCGTATTGTGCCATTGCTTCGAGTATTGTGTGTTACTTGTTTATCCCTTCCCTTCCTCTTTATACCCCCTTGCCTACAGTTCTGACAGTGGTGGGAGTGATTCAGAAGGAGGAAGTGTATCTCGTCGCAAGAAGAAGATCTCTCGAGACAAGGACAAGTCCAGGAAATCAAAAAAGGAGAAAGATGAAGAAAAGCGTAAAGGTGTGAATATCACATGCATCATGTACATATTTGTTTGTACATCTATACACATGTGCATTGGCAATGGTAAAACAATTTAAGCACCTACACCTGTTAATGCTCCCTGCACTAGAACACTTGAATGCTGTTAAACTAATTTTGGTCAATGCCCTATTGCCTTTACACACCCTCCACTGTGCTAAGTTATATGGTACGACTGTGTAGTGGTAATCATGCGGTTGTGGTCTGTAGGTGGTGGGGGTAGCGAGGTGTCCAGTGGAGATGAAGAGGCTACTAGGAAAGAGGAGGCAAGGCTGAAGGCCACTCAGAGGTCACGGGACCTCCGAGAGAAGCTCAAACGGAAGAACCACAAGAAAGTGAAGGAAGGCTCTCACAGTGACTCTGGAGATTCTGGCTCTGATAACGAGTATGTCTAACTTTAACACTTTACTCCTGCCACCACATAATGCAGCCAAAGGACCTTATCTTGTAGGCATGTTTTTGTGTAGCTTTCAAAAACATTTCTTCACCTCACTACTACTTTTGTTGCCTGCCAAATTAGTAGAAGGACATACTCATGCATTGTTAACCCTCGGCGCGCATGCGCAGCGAGGGTTACAGTAGTTGGTTTGTCTGTCTGTGTGTGTGTCTGTCTGTCTATTAGCGATACCAGCGGCTTCAGAACTACGCGAGCCTGAAAATTAAACTGACAATTTTCCTGAAACGACTGTCTTCGAGAGATATGCCGTGAAAACAAGCGAAAAGGCAATATGCATATTAGCACTGGGCTTACCGCGACCCGATCCACTCGCTCTGTGTACCTTGGGGCTCAGGAAGTCACATCGAATGGCATGTGTTGACTCCCCCATGCTCTCTATTACTGTAGCTAGCCAGTGTCAGACTCTCCGCGAGCTACTAGCGGGAGACCGCGAGTAAACGCATACAAATAGCCCAACCCATCAATTAGCAGTATCGCACTTTAGTGCTTTTCATTTTCTGCAGTTCTTTAGCCAAGGATTTGTAGCTGTATGTACTTCTATTGTTGTGGATGCTGTGAATTGTGCACTAAGCAAGTACGTAGAATGGTCCCTTCCTCACTCTTTGCCCAATTTCTCTGTCTTGCTGTAAGCATCAAAATGATCCTCAATCTTTTTTGATTGATCTGATTAAGGTCCTGTGAGATACTGTGATACGTAGTTACATGACAACAATAACCTCTAAAGAAGTTAAGCTGATTATTTAGCAAGTCTGTGAGTTAAGAACCAAAACTCAATATGTCTAGTTTGTATGAGCATCTTTGAGATGTTAAATTTCAAATATTGAAGTTGGTGAAAATGGTTGCAAATCAGCCTAACCCCCAGGGATCTCCAAAACCACCGTTTGTGCATGTTCTCCACAAAGTTAAGGCGAGCGGTGAAGACTTTCTGCCCACCTATAGACTGGCACTGTAGCTGATGCTAACAGGTTCCATACCATGCAGTATATGCATTTACAATGATGTCATGTTTGGTTGTAGAGCTGACCTGAGGAAGACCCTAAAGAAGAACCGAGAGAGAGAAAAAGAGAAAGGCAAAGAGAAAGAAAAAGACCGTGGTGGCAGGAAGGAACCAGTGAAGGCAAGGGACAAGGATTCTGGGAGGAAAGATGAGGATAAGAGGTCGAAAGACAGCAAGGCGAAAGGGAGTGACAAAGAAAGAGATCACAGGAGAGAGAAGGAATCCGAAAGAAAGGCAGGAGACATTAAAGAATCAGAGAAACAGCAGACATCTGGGGATCATTTGAGGAGCAGTTCACGAGAATCTACAAGGAAACGACCCCAAACGACAAAACTCAGAAAGAGCGAAACCCCGCATCACAAGATGAGCCGCAGCAATTCGGAATCGTCAAAAACTCCCACATCTCCTGTGAAAGCCGTGAAACCTTCCCCTCCACTCACCAAGCCAACCAAACCCCCCAGGACTCCTCCCACACCCCCAAACAAGAGCTTTATGGAGGAAGAAAAGGAAGATGACAACAAACGACCCTTTCCTGAAACTGCAGGAGAGAACATGGACACTCTACCACCACCTCGATCACCTGAGCCAGAAGGACTTATACGTGAAGACGATGGAACTATTGCCGGACCCAAGGATGCTCCCGAGTCTGCCAGTGTCCCAGACACCCCTGAGAGCCCTCCTGCCCCTCCTCCGTCCAACAAGAAGGAGCAGAAACTTGAGAGTGACCTGAGCAGTGGAGAAGAATTTACAGAGAGCACAGCAGGGAGTCCCCTCTCTCCTCGAGGCCCAGCTGGAGAAGAGGTGCGGACTGAGGTGGTTCAGCCACAGGCAGGGAATGGATCCGAAAATGAGCAACCTGGAAAGAGGGAAGAGGGAGGAGAGCCAGTGAGATTCAAGATGAAGGTGTCCCGGTTGAGGGCAGGGGTGTTGTCTCCCACTGCCACTCAGTGGTCACCTGATCACCACCACTCCCCACCCCACACCTCTCCTCCGCCCTCAAAGACACAGACCCGCCACTCCCCTCCTCCTGCTGCACCATCCAATACCACTTCAGACAATGCCTCTACCACTGCCTCCTCCCGAATTTCTGGCATGGAAGAACTCGATGACTCACGCAAATCCAGGAAGCTCCCCCGTTGCTACCAATTGGAGGACGAGAGACTCCGAGAGAAACAGAGAGAGCCCAAGGAGCATAGGCATACAAAACAACACCCTCGGCCCACAACTCCATCCCCTCCACCTTCCTATGCTGCCTCTTCTTCCACTGCTCAGTCGTCGCACCGCAGACGGCATGCCCACTCTCCTCCTCCACCTCAGCAGCAGCAGGCGGAGTACGGACGCTGGAGACAGCGGGGAAGCCGTCACTTCTCCCCCACACCTCAGTTTGGTTCCCGGCGATATTCACGCTCCCCACCTCCACCCTTTGGGTACCCCAAGTCTCCCCCGCCTCCTTCCCACGGGGGAGGGGGCAGGTCACCTTACTCCAGTTCTCCCCCAAGGCCACGTACCCCGATCCAGCGACCACTACGCGACCGTGGCCCTGGAGGATCGCGACACCGCTATGACTCTCCTCCCTATGACATGCCACCACGAGGGAAACACGGTCGTCATGGGTCTTCCCCTGTCCGACACTTCTCCCCCTCTCCTCCTCTGCTCCTCTCATCACGACCCCGATCACCCGGGGGACCCTCCGGCCGTCGCCACTACCAGCGCCGCTACTCTAGAAGCCCCTCTCTACCACCAGTGAGACGATCTCCTCTCCGTCGTAAAGACCCTCCCCGCTCACCATCCCCTGGGAGCAGCCGCAGCTCTCCTCACTACCCTGAAGATCGTCTGGAGCCCCGTAAGTTTACCAAGAAGCCATCTCATGTGGTCTACAGCCGGTCTCCGTCACCACCAAAGTCTAAAAGGAGGGAAGGTGGTCTTCCAAGAGAGGAGTACCCCGACTCCAAACGTCGGAGGGTGGAAGATTCCCGAGGTGTCAAGTCGCCTACTACCATGCCAGGACCGGTGAAAGATGAGTCAACCAAGGGCTCCAGGCCTGTCAAGTCCCAGCCTCCTTTGTATGCTGCCTCGTCATCTGATAGACATCATGGCTCTGGGAAAGAACCACAGCAGGCGTGGTATAAGTCTGAGACTGGGGAGGGAGGCGTGGCTCAGGGAGGTGGGACCCCTCGTTCCTCCCACCACACGGCCAGCCACGGCAAGATGACCTCCTCTCCTCCATCCAAAGTTGCTGCCAGTTCTGTGCCTTCCAAACCTGTGCAACAGCCTCAGCCACCAGCAGACAACCTCCTTGACCTGCTTAGGTGCTTACTATATACATACTGAGTGAGAGTACACTGTAGCACAGTGGTTGGATGTTTGCCTTGTGTTGTGTTGTGTTGTAGATTCGAACCCCTACCAGCTGAGTTGCCCGGGTAGCTCAGTCGGTAGAGCGCTCGCCTAGACTGCGGAGTGTCGTGGGTTTGAATCCCACCTAGGGCAGCTCTTCTTCTTTTCTCTGAAAATAAAGAGCTGTCCTGGCTGTAGTTGGCTTGTTTGCCTTGCCTTGCCTTTCTACCTCACTACCAAGCTGTTGAGACATGCACACACAGATACACACTGTTGCATGTTGCGTGGAAACCCTGTAATTCATGTTAGGGGAGTTAAAACTCTTCCATTCTCAGTGCATCAAGGGATATACACATGCAGCATAGCAGACCACTTGTATTAATGTTCAGTTTTCATTGTGATTGGCATTGCATGGAATTGTTTCCTTTCCTGTAGGAGGTACCCAGTCATGTGGCAGGGTCACCTGACTCTAAAGAACGAGTCGGCTGCTGTCCAGCTCCACTTCCTGAGTGGGAATGCCCAGCTGGCCAAGAGCAGCCTCCCAGGGCTGGGCGAGGGTCAAAGTCCAGCTCTCAGGATCGCACAGAGGATGCGGCTGGAGCAGACCCAGCTCGAGGGTGTCCAGAGGCGCATGCAGGTAGGGGAGGAGTGTCATTTGAGTCATGAATTCACACTCCATTGAATTCAATTTAAAATAGGTGGACAGTGCCGAAACTGTACTGGTACGTAGCGCTGGCGATAGTTCACCAGATTATCACTAAGTACGGTAGTACTTAGTATATAGGGATTGGCATGGTACCTAGCATCATAGATGTATGGGGCTATGATAGGGAGTTTTGTTGTTGTTCTTCTTCTTCTCCTTCTTCTTCAGATTGAACTCGCGTAACTCAAAAACGAAATAACATATAGTAATGAAACATTGTTTACTTTAAACAACAACAAATAGCCCCAGGCAATACATTATAATGGATCACACGTGTCAGTATAACTCACAAAATGGTATATAGGAGCTATGTGAACAAAACTTTGTAGACATAATGTATTCAATTACCAACATTAAAATCACAACAATACATGTTTGTAAATAACAACAAATAGCCTCAGGCACTCTTCTTTAAATTTACTTCTTCACTTCTCAAACTCTCCAATGGTAGCACACATAGAGATGAAACTTGGTAAGTATTCCTATTATATCATTTCCATGACGATTACATGTTTCCATGATGACCGCATTTTGTTTGAAAAAAGCCCAGGCACTTTCTTTAAAATTACTTCTTCACTCCTCAAACTGGCTAACGGTGGAGATGAAACTTGGTACGCATGTGTGTAACATCGTTTCCATGACGACCACAACAATAACCTCAGGCACTTTTCTTTAAAATTCTTCTTCACTCCTCAAACTTGCTAACTGTAGCACACATGGAGATGAAACTTGGTACGCATACGTGTTACATTATTTCCATGACGACAACAGGAAGTTTTCTCTATTATGCCCCCTTCCATAGAGATAATACGTAGTAGTATATAAAAATGAGTGGAGACAAGTAAATTAAAAATCCTGCGAATTTAAAAAAAGAGGCATATAGGGATGGTATAAAAAGAAAGGGAGACAAGATAGGGATGGGATACATAAAGCATGGTTAATGACCAGATTTGAGCACGCTAGACACCCCCAAACCCATCACACAATCCCTATATTGTTGCCTAGGTGAAGTGTTAAATATTCACCATTACAATACTCATAACTTATAATACCAAAAAGTCAAACTAGTGAGTAACCAACACCGTTATAGAATCCAAGTGGAGTGTAATGAAAGGGAATGTGGCAGTATAAAAGTTACTAAAAAACAACAGGGACACGGTGGAAGAATGCTTCCTTTTAGCCCTTATAATTATAATGCCACATTCCCTATAAGAGTAGCACACCAGGCAACAATGTGTGATGGGGTAGGGGGTGTCAGCGTGCTCAAATCTGGTCATTTTAGCCATGCTTCATGTATCCCATCCCTATCTTGTTTCCCTTCTTTTTTTTTTACAATCCCTATTTGCCTCTTTTTTTTAATTCGCAGGATTTTTTATTTACTTGTTATATTTCACATTACTGGCACTACCATTACACTACGTGTTCGCTTGGATGCTTTTAAGTCTTCTTTTTTGTGCAGTGCGGCTCACGTTTAGTCGTGTAGTGCACTGGCTGTCTTGCTGACAGTCAAACTGTCGAAAATGGTGATCTCCAGAGACACAATTTCCTCCTGTATCTTCGTTTATGTGGTTCAATTGTGCATGCATAAAACCATACACTAGGTAACAATTCCGCTACACTTTAGACACTATTCACCTGGTGTACTCTTCGAAAGGCAGTGTTTTTACATACAGTAGGAGTCAAAATAAAATCGTTCTTGCATTTCGTTACCTTCTATTTGGTGTTCTCTGTCGTTCCGTTCCATTTTTAGTACCGGCAACACGGCAGAAGTGCTATGGTAGCGAAACAAGGCTTTTTCTTAGCACAAGCACGAATGAAAAGCACTTGAAATTGCATAACCCTCGCCACTGTTGATTATGGAGGTTCAATAGTTGGTTGTCTCTGAGAAGATCAGAGACTGCTCTTCCTTTAATAATTTCAGCTGTATTCTTTCTTTGAATACTTGTTAAACCATCAATACACACAGACCAGCAAATATTCTCCACACGTGCAAAGCATCTAAGTACAGCGATCGTCCGCGATCTCTATTTGACGCACACTCACCTTGGCAGCCGTCCGTTTCACCAGCTTCCCCGGCCTTCTCTGCTCCAGAATCTTATTTACCATGCATGTCCCCTACTTGATAATATGTCCACGTTTCACGCTCAGAGTTGCTGCGGTTACCGAGAAAAACGGTGGACAGACGGACACATGCACACACACACACACAGACAGACCAACTGCAATAACCCTCGCTGCGCATGCGCGCAGGCAAGGGGTAATGAACAATAAGGCAGTATTCAAGTTGCTAGCTTCTTGCGAATGACCTGTCCTTGCACATGCACATGCACATATATGTAGATACCAAACGGAACGCAACGGAATGGCAACAATAAACAGTGTTCCAGGAGAGACTCAACGAAGTAGAACGACCAATTTGGACAATGCATGCTACTGATGTATGCATATATTACGTTTGCTCACAGAATGAGTCGGAGCACTGCCTGCTGTTGGCACTACCCTGTGGGAGAGATGCAGGGGATGTGCGTGCACAGACGCATGCTCTCAAGAACAGTCTCATCTCTTACCTGCTCCAGAAACAGGCTGCTGGCATCATCAATGTTCCTGGCTCACAGGTGAATGCAAACAGTTGTTCAGTGCAGTGTTTCTTACATTACTGTGACAATGCATGTGAAATGATCACTCATTCAGACAACTTACAAGGCTCACTTCCTTGGGGGGTCGGACAGGGTTTCAGGCGCGTATAGGGCGCTCCGCCACTACCAACAGTCCTCGTCACATATGCCACATACATAGTGCATGTACATAGACTTCAGTACATTGCAAAGAGAAGACATATTTTACATTGCTAGCAAACCTATCGCGTAGAAGAGAGGTGGAACCGTTATCTCAGACCTCCTTTATCCTTTTCCTAGCGGCGTGGGGACATCGGTGGGTGGTTTGCTACTACGTTATGTTGCCTCCAGTGAGCGCAGGCCGTAATCGGATGCTCAAGCTACGACTTACCACAATGTTTACAAAGCCTCCGATCTGCTGGGGGATAACATTTTGGAAGAAAGATGATGACCTCCGTTCAAACATCGTTCTCGGGAAAATGAATCAATGTAATGGTGAAGTAATGGCTTGCTTCTTTTACGAACACAGATTGCACACGGGTGCAAAGAAGTAGCCCTTGCTCTCGTTATTTTCACACAGTTGGTTATCTCTTGCTGTACCCAATTCTCATTCATAGTGTGGTTGCTACAATGTTGCAAGCTGCATGTACAAGCACTTCCCGTGTGTGCACATGTATTCAGTAGCTCTATCAATTCATTACCATACGTGTACCCTACGTAATATTTTACACATCCTCTCCTCCCAGACTGGGTTTGTGCTACACATCTTCCCTCCATGCCAGTTCTCCCAGACACACCTCGCCCGTGTGGCTCCCGACCTCCTCAGCAGTGCCTCTGACAACTGTCACCTCATGATTGTAGTAGCCACCATGTGATCAGTATACCACTGATTATTGCTGTTTGTATAATTGTACATGATTTTTTTGGTTTTAAAGTCTGTGATCTACTGTATCTCAGTGTGTGTGTAGCTACACATCGTCGCATGGTCGGCGGCTTCTATGGCTGTTACATTGTGCAAGAATACATAAAGTACATATTTCCATGTGTCAGCAAACTGCATTTTCACTGATAGAATACAGTGTCATGGCTGGGTCTGCATATCACACAGACTTTCCTTTGGATTGTGCCTTTCCCTAGCTGTTGTTGAATACTACTTGACATAGACAAATCGGTTTAGCCACTAGTTATACCATAAGTTGATGGCGTTCAATTAACTTAGGAGAGCAATATATGTAATGAGGCCACACTTCCTCATAACAGACACTTTACTCCACAGTAACAAGTCATGGCCTTTGTCTGTGCTATACGTTGGAAAATCTTTTTGACTTCACCTGTGCCCTCGAAAAATTGTCGAAACTTAACTTTTTATTTTACATTCGTAAGAATGCCATTGGAATCCTCGCAACTTTCCGTACTGATGGCATCCTTCACTAACCATGAAACCTTATCAGTCCAAAAGAAAAGTGTGCCATAAGTAAAGTATGTGGTGCCTGTTTACACAACCACTTCTAGGGCTCAGGTGAACGACCCTGGTTACCTTGTCCCTCATTGTCTATCCTTGGTTCCTGGTTCCTTTAAGTTTTTCCATGGTTCTATAGTCAGTATGGTAACTTCTACAGTTCTTGATCTGTTCCAGTGTTCTCTACTTCCATGTTTCTTTTAGTTCCTGGTTCTGTGGTTCCCTCTTGGTTCTCTGGTTTCTCAGTTTTCGCTTGGTTGGTTCCGTCAGAGGTTCCACTTCAGAATGATGGAAACACAGGTCTCTGCAGGTAAGCCCTTCAAGCACTTGCCTTTTGTTTACACCTTTGATTCGATCATGCATCTACTTAAAACTAAGTACGGTAGTATGGCACAGGTTATGCCATATATTTGAGATTTGTACGTTTCACTTTCAGTTTCAATCAGATCCCACTTCTGACAAATCAGTTGATCCATATGGTTAAAAAAACATGTATATACCTAACAAAATCAGTAATCAATGAAAGTTAGTTTTCAAAATTCTTCTTGTTGTTGAGCGTATCTTAAAAACTGGGTATGATATGGAGATGAAACTTCACAAAGAGCCATGCAACAGCATTTGTAAACAGTGTTGGTTACATGTATATAATATAGCAGCAAAAAAACAACAAAGAATAGCCCCAGGCCATACATTATGATATAGACTAATAAAGTGTGTTAACATCTGGTCAGGGGATGCACCCACCCAACCCCAACTCACCTTCACCTTCCACCTGACCCTCTCCTTCTGGTCCAGACCTCCACAACCCTCCGGTTGTGTACTGGTATGGCGGTCGTATGGAGGCCCAGGCCAGCTAGGGAATGGAGTGGAGTCACCCCTCCCATCAGTTTAGCTTGGGGGAGGAGCTGCATGTATTCCACCCCTGCCCAAGGAGGAGGTGCCCCCACCCCACCGGGCACCAGCTAGCCCCAGGCCATACATTATGATAATTTATTGTGACTTGCGAGGGCGGATCAAAGGAGCCGCGCATACTTTTATTTCCCTTATCGTAGCACGCGTTCAATATGACCAATATTGAACGTTCAATGAAGTAGCATCAGCATCGTATATACCGATAGTGTAGACAAAAACTGTTCTGTAGAGGCTGTAGAGGCGAGGGATGGCTGAGGCGACCACACCCCTTCATTCAGCTCCCAGTGGCAAGCGAGACCGCGGCCGCGGCACACCGACCGGTCAAACGGCCCAGCGACCTATGAAATGAGCCACCATCACGACCTTGTTCGATTACGGTAGCCTCTAGAACAGAGAACTCGCTCGAGAAGCCAGCGAGTGCGCACGTGCGCATGGGTAATGTAGGCTACGCGCAGTCGTATTTCTCTCGCTGGAGCTAGGTCTACAAAGTCACATAATGTGCGTCCTATCGTTCTATACACGACTTATGGGAACTCGGGTTGTGGTCTCGAGACCCCTCCTCGTTCCCATAAATCACGTATAGAACTCTAAACGCACATTATCTCTTACATAAAGTGTGCTAACTAGTTAATGCCAACACACAGAACTTTCCACACCTATGCAACCCATCTTTAGTATCAAAATGTAAACATTACAAGTTTGTAAACAACAAACAGCCACAGGCAATAAAAAAAATTTTTGGTCCTTAAAACTTGCTTATGGTGGGTCCTCTATCAATGAAACGTGGTTTACTTACGTACTTTGGTGAAAGAAACATGTGAATGACGACAGTCTGATAAATAGTTGATTTTATGACTAAGTTTTGAGTCACGGAGTCTGCTGGTCAGCATTTTTCATTGTTCACCCATGTTCATAACCTGTTATTCTTATGGTGTATGCATTGAGTATATAACCAACAACATATTTCGTGACTCATAACTTGGTCTTATATGACAATAAACACAACACATAGGCCCTTGTGGTGGATCAGGCTCCTTGTAAACATGCAAATGTATCAGATGGTGACTATTGAGATTGTCATTGTGCTCATGGGGTCAGTCAGTCTATGTATTCTTGTATATACAATTAATGATTGTAGTCACCGATATCAGTGTATGGTCATGTAGTTCTTTATCTACTGGTCGCGCAGCCTTGTCTGTATAAAAGCTCCATCTGTCATTCTGTGGTAGTCCAATCTTCATCAATATTTATGATAAGTCTATGATCATACTCCTCGGCAACCTGCGACGCGCAAGCAACTTAAACTTGAAGCTCTGACAGCCATTCATTAATGCTACTTTTTATATGGGCATTATGCCCCAAAAACTATATTGCACACCATACAATGCAGTAAAAAAGAAAAGGATAGAAGTAAATAAAAAGTCTTCAAATTAAAAAAAGTGTGGAATATAGGGATGCCATAAAAAGCAAGGAGACAAGACAGGGATGACCTACTGCATGTGTCGCGGTAGTATGAATGATGGTTACATCTTCAAACTGACGTTGCTTGCTCGTGTAAATCTTCCTCCACACAAGTCCTATATTATTGTCGCCACTTACACACGAGTTTCTTTTTAATGATGTAGAGTTGGAGGACAAGAGTCTGTAGAGGGCCAGGAACGTAGCATTGTAAACCTGATTAGTTGAGCGAAGATGGAAGTCATAGACTACATAACGCAGTAACAGCTGTGTTTTATATAGGTTATTCAGAGTCTCACCTAGGACAGCTCTTTTTTCTTTGTGTTGTCATAGGTGTCGTTGAACTGTTATTTATTATACCAATTTGCGTGGCCAGTATTGCCACAATACTCGAAGACTAGCCTAAAATGGCTATGGCTATGGTAACAGAATTGGTTACTCAATAAATGGGTATAGAGGCTAGGGCTATGGTAACAGATTACATTGTTATTGGCTACTCAGTGCATAGAATTTCGCGGGGTTAGCGCCAGGGCTACAACTGAGGCAATGAAAACGCTCATGTCACTTCCACATTACTGAACACCACTCCATACGTCACCTTACAGTTCAGAGATAAGTCATATTGTGGTTTTCTGGTTCTACTATCGTTGGTTCTGTAGTTCCATGGCTCTCTACTGCATCGTTGGTTCTATGCATAGTTTTCTAGCTTTGCTTCTCTAATCTCTAGATCTAGCTTCCTGGTTCTGTAAATAGGGGGTTATAATAGCAATGGTTCTGTAGCTCAATTTTGCCCTTGAGTGCTCCACAGGCTGTGTGCTGATTGTGCTACAGTTGAGAAAAATCTATATTATTTGTTATCTTTGTCATATTACAACAAGTTTAAAATCTATTTACAATCGGTGTGGGTATTATTATACCAAACAATTTTTATTGATTAACCTCTTGTCCCAAAACTATCATTTATTGCAGTATATTGAGTATTTCTTGATGTGTTTCCAATAGCTAGCCATCTCATACATTTCATAATAAGTATTACAGCAGCAACTGAGAGTGGAAGAAGCAGCAGAATAAGCTGAGTTGTACTCCACCAGATTGTTGCCTCTTTGATTCCAATCATCATGTTAGTATACATGTAGAGTGTAATTCCATTGATTACAACAAGGTTAAAGAGGAGAAGAAGATCAATAGTGTTGTGAATTCTTTTCTTGTATGGTTGAAAAGCAGCATGAACAATAATCATAGCAATGAGTGCTAGCTCTGTAAATATATATACTTGAATCATATCCTTGGTAGCAGCATAGACGATGAGTGGAACAGTACGATACAAGAAAAAGAGTCCTGCAAAAAAGCGATAATTGTCCTTGAGAGGGTTTTGGAGAGAGTCAAGTAGCTGGATTGGCATCAGCCTCCAGAGGTATATGGCCATCCTAGACTCACTGAGCTGACAATACCCCAGGGCCTTGAAAAACAGTGGATAGAAAAGAAGCAAAGTAGGTGGAAGGACAACTACAAGCATTAGAAATACCAGAGCAACTACTGCATACTTCAGGTGTACTCCATGGAACGGAATCATCTTTCCACCATAGAAGACAAGCTCTTCCATGCATATGCCATTCTCATCAAAGAGGCAGCTTGTATAGAGCACTTGAAAACATGTCTTGGCACACTGAGCATAGCACAGAATGAGAAAAGCTGAAATGCTATTAATAACTGAAAAACGGCGTCGCAAAATCGGACGAAAAAGGCAAAAAAATTTGGTTGCATCAGAAGGAGCACCATGCCTATTACCAGTACCAGTGCAATACAAATTGAACCAAGTCTTACCATCAGAATGTCCATTGTATTAGCCCCTCTCCATATGCAGAAGGAAAAAGGTTCCAGGTTGAAAAGTTCCAAGTTAAAGAAGTTGTAAACAAAAATAACCCAGCTTAGAGTAGTCCACTGAGCACTTGGAAATCCATAGCCTCTTATGTAGAGCATGCATACAACTTGGGAATAGAACATGAAGCTGTTCCAGCCACTGGCAAAGTTTGTATCAAACAACGTAAGCATTACTAGCAAAATTGCCAAAGGAAGTATGGTGGAGAGGGTGAAGTATAGTGGACTCAAGTAGCAGTGCCTATTTGTGCCACATTCAAAACTTGGTGAGTTGTAATACACCGAGTGCCCAGGTCTGCACTCTCCACACGTTTTACCAGTTCTTGTAGAGGAACAAATGGTGCCCTTCAAAAGACTTGCATTGAAAGGCAATTGTGTTGAATGTCCATTTGTGTCATAATTGCAGTAACCCAAAGGACAGTCTGAGGTGCATAGGTCGGACTGATTACTGTCAGTGCAATGTCCCATCCATACTCCATACATTAAATAGACAGGTTTACAGTTCCACAACCCGTAGTACTGTGATACAACACATTCGCATTTGTTATCAGCGTTGAGGATGTAACCAGGAGGACAGTCATCTAAAGCAATTTCTAATAGAATAGACACTCCGTCTGACAAGTCATCAAGTCGCAATTTTGCCCTCTCTCCTTTCTTACCCACAAGGCTAATGGTGTTGGCAGAAACATACCTAAATGCGGGGTCAACAGATATGCTTGAATTTTCCTGCACCAAAGTTGCTTGGTATGATACATTGGACACATTATTTCCTTCTGAATCCGACACAAGAAGTGGCAGTTTAAGAGGCAATCCAGGGAAAAGTTTAACAACTTGAGTAGTGTTAACAGAAAACTTTGTTGGCATTGTGGCAGTCGAACTTTTGTTAGGGTAGAAGATAAAATTTCCAATGCACTCGAACGGTTTTGAATGCGGTGAGCAGAATATATTGCAAGATAAAAAGGAAGATGCAAAGATGTGGTTACCCTGAACAAGACCAGCTGTGTTATTAATAAAGTAAAAGTTAGACTTACTGACATTTAAGCCCCGATAAATAAAACAAGGTTGATGAACTTTGCTTTCTGTACTTTGCGAGTATATAGCACCACCAAAATCCCTTGCATGATTTTCAACGAAGGTAAAATTGCTAGCCTCATCTAGATACAAAAATGATCGCCCAACCAATAGGATTGCACCGCCATTGATACCACTGTTTGAGTTGAACATTACTCTAGATGCAGCACAAAATGAAGCCACACTTGCACTCAGATAGAGTGCTGTACTGTTATTGCTCTCAAAAGTTGTTTCACCACAAAATGTAACTTGAATGAAATTTGATAAAAATGCACCTGCTCCATTTTCTTGGATTTCATAAACACCACATGACGTTTTATTTGGAGTAATCTTGTTTTGGGAGAAATTGCAGTTTCTAAAAGTAATGTATGGGTAGTGTCCTGGATTTCTCGAAGCCCAAACTCCTGGTTGAACATGAACTGCTGCGCCATACAGAGCAGCAGAGTTACTGGTCCATGTAGAATTACTGAAAGTGATTGCACTTTCATCATCTTCCATCGCTACTTCTCCCGAAAAAATATTAACACCTCCTCCACTGGAAGCGGTATTATTTATAAAACAACAGGAGTTAAAGTTCATGGTAGTATTTCCAACAAGCCTTTTGTATGTTTTGACATCTTGGGCATAGTAAGAAAAAACAAGCTCCAAACCACCACCCATTTTCTGCCCTAGTGCCACATTATTTGAAAAGTTTGTCCTTATCAGCGATACCTGATTACCACGGGAAGTATCCAGAGTCTGTATCTTTGACCCTCCACCATAGAGGACAGCAGTGTTGTTGTTGATAGTGCAGCTTTCAATAGACACACTAATGTTTGTTGAACATGGACCAAGAGATATGCATAATCCTCCACCACTACCCATACAACCTATATTTCTCCAGGAATGAGAAAAATTTGCTGTTATGGCACTACCAGCATCTGCTTTGTTTCTTAAAAATGTACAGTTGTTGATTGTGTACATTGTGCTGCAGTGCTTATAGTTGCAGTTACTGCTGTTGAAGTTGTTACCATTAAGTGGAGTGAATTCTATGGCCAAACCGTTTCCACCATACATTTTGTCGGAATAATCTTTAATGGAGCTTTTCATTACACATGTGTTAGTGATGTTCAACTTTCCATAGCTGTCCAGAATTGAAATTGCGGTACCCCTAGATTTAAATACTGCAAAACTGGTAACGTTCACATCACTGCAGTTGAACAGATGCAAAGCTGAAATTTCAATGAAAGTCACTGATTTTTCAAATCGTGTCACATTCCGTGCAACTCCACAGCCAGTGAGATTTATATTGCTAAGAGACAGACCAGTCACATTAGCAAAGGAAAGTCCTGCATCTGATGAGTTGCATACAATACTAACTGTGCCTGATATTTCCTCTCCCACAATAGAAATATCTGTATAACCAACAAAGCTGACAGCTGTAGATAATATTATCCCTGGTTTAGCAACCTCAATCAGTACAGAAGTTTTATCTGGAAAGTTGCGAACAGCATATCCTAGTGTCTGACATGGTCGCTCTGTCCATTTTAAGCACTCCGGATTATCATGGCCATTAGAGGCAACTACAATCATATGCCTGTATCCACTGGCAATGGAGCAGGCAAGAAGAAGTAGAAGACTCACCAAGGAATACATCATTATTGATTTGTTACTCACTTCAAATGCAGAAAGATTGCCTTGCAACTGAATAATATATGAATCAGTCCCAACCTTGGGAAAGTTTTGACCAACATAACTTTTGTAAACATATATTGAAAATGCATGTGCCCATTGTGTCAACAAGGCAAAAGCAAAACAAACAACACAAAAACACCCGGGATAACCCTGGAAACCCACACGACACTTGAAAACCTCAATCAACTGTGCTACTGCACAGTACACTATACCTTACAATTTAGTAGTAATTTTTAGAACCACTAAAGACACCCAACTCAAAATTATGTAAATTATGTGTTTCGCCGAAGCAAAGACAGCTAGCTACACCAAGGAAAGTTATGAAGAGTCTGGCTCTAGGATCCAGTGTGTGAACACACAGGACTGAAGAAGGTAGAAATGGTCCTAGAGCACTAAAAATGTCGACATTACTGAACTCTCACTCTTCTGTGCTTTCATGCTCCCGTCACTCTTTCTCCAACAATCATGAAGCACGTAAAATCACACTGATCAGCTACATTCGAAAAGCACTGTGCATCTACAACAAGCTGGAAGAGGAAAGTATTGCATTTCCAAAGTCAAACTGTTTACAATTATTACAGCGTCTTTCACAACAAGCCACTGGCATAGGCCATGGAGGATAAAGTTTATGGAGGGGGATGGTGTATTACTATTGTCATGCACACCAAGGAAAAAAGCAAGGGATATGACAGAATGTATGTGAACCACATCATGATCTGCGCAAGCATCAATAATTCACTGGCTTAACAACTGTTGGTTCAGTAAAACTACAAAATCGCTCATTACAACCAGACCCTTTCAGAGGGTGGGGTGTCTCAGGCAAAAGACCACCTTAAGTGTCATTTATACGTCTCTCATGTTAGGTAGTGGTGGGTTTATACCTATGGCAAAGAACTGTAATTCTGCTATTCCCCCATAATGGACGCTATATGTCTCTCTCTGCCAACTGAATCACCAAGTGTCTAATGCAGCTGGGAAGGAGGCTGACTCCATTTGTCTCCTGTATAACATGAAATGGAGAATAAATACCGTCATAGACGTTGCCTGTGTCAGTTATAAGTTGACTTGGAAGCAGTTGCAATAGGCAAGACTTGCCCTTGAGTACAATAGAAGTTTACGAATTTTATATTATGTAATGTGAGTAAACAAACTTGAAACACCAATACATCACACAAAAGCAAATGATTAGAATGTCCACAAAGTGCTAAGCAAAGTACATTCCAGTCTTCTGTATCTCCTCTTTTATCTTGATAGCATCAGCCATGTCAGTTTCAGACAACTGCTCGCTGCCTCCACTGCACACACTACTGGCACAGTCTCCACTGAATAACAGAAGGTATTTTGAAAACACAATGATACTTGCTGCACCTAAGATCACATTGTCATGCAGTTATAAGTTTACATCTACAAGTGTAACATCATTTCCATGACAACCACTTTGTTTGAACAGCAACAAATAGCCTCAATGCAGTCACATCAATGTTAGTAGGATAATCCTTGTGCTACATAATAAGACCTCTCTTCCAGGGCCTGCAGGTGGTAGCGAGCTCTAAAGGCAGCCAGATGGGCACAATAAGCTGGGGCAGGGTAGGAAACACTGCGATTACAACGAGGAAACAAGTGGCACAGTTGGAATGTGATGTCCTGTAGTTCATCCGCTGAATAGCCCTTGTCATCATGAAGAACGTAGTAGTGACATGGCTTGCTGGTTCCCTGTTATATGTACATATACAGGATGTATGAGGTACAGCAAGAGGTAGCCATGCTCGTCAACCCTCAGCGTGCATTTGCAGCAGGGTTATATACTGTAGTTGCCGTTACTGTGTACTGACGGTATCTTTCAGTGTGCATGTCTGTTGTTCACTTCCAGCGACGGCATAATTTTTTATATGCCTAACTTTCAATATAAACGAACCGTTCAAGAGTTATTGCTAATGGGTACTGGCTTACCACAACGGCTTTTGCCTGCATTAAACACATCAGAAGCTAATCGGAATGAAAGGCGCTAAGTAGTGTAACCTTTGCTACGTATGCACACCGAGGGTTAATGGTGAGCGGTAAAAAAAGCATTATCTTACAACATCCCAGAAAACAATGGGAATCATGGCCATCACGGCAGGCCAAGCACCGCACACGCGTGCCATCAGCCTGCCCATAATTTGCGTGCAGGGGCCGTGTATAATAGCGGTGAGGTTTGTACATGAATGGTGCCGCTTGTTGTTCAACCTGAATTCCAGCATGGGAGACAAGGTAGAAGTCATGGTCTGTTGGATGAGTTATACCACTGTCAACTGTGGTCCCAGCTGGAACATTGCCACTCTTTCCACACTGTACCAGCAGATATCACTATTTTAAATCATTGACGTGCTACATTTAAAAGTCATGTACCTTATCTCCATAATCGACAGGAAACAATCGGGCGTGATGTCTCTTTTGTACAACAACAAATGTAATGGGTGGACGGTAGTCATGTTCCATAGCTTCACAGGCCTCCTGTAGCTGTTTTAACTCCTTCTCTAGGACCTGCATAATACATAATACAGAAAGAGGCATGGGCTTGTTTCAAAGCTTTCCCTCCATTGCATGCATATAGTTTTGCAAGTGATGGAAATGTACGTGAATACATAAGAATGAGGGCGTGGTTAAAATACCACATTACAAACCAGGAGCAGTGAAAAGGAGTAAAACGTGTGCACTAGGTATAAACTAGCCTGATATAGGAGACTGGACTGAACTCTATCGAACAGATTTTCAGCACCCATAACCTTCGCAATAGCTGGAGTCTACAATACTTATACATCTCACTTGTTGAAACTGCCCCTCACTAACTCCATCACGGTAGAACAGTATGTGCTCTGGTTTGGCTCCATTATTGTTGCGCCAGAAGGCTTCCAACATGTCTTTCGCCATTACCTTCATATCAGTGATGATTTCCTGGATGAGTCATGACACAATAGTTAGAACAATATTTTACATGTACTAACCTGTCTGGACTTTTGAATCCTTGTATCTGCTCTGTATAGCGTAGCATGAACATCCATGCTTGCCACCAACTGCAACAAGGTATTGTTGAAGTATAAGTAAAATATTGCTAGAAGGTCAAGAATTGTACAGCGTGCACTTACTGCTGCAATGGAGGGTTTGCTGCTTCCAGGAGCTGGGTGAGTTACATCAGCTCCCATCACTATCACTGGCTTTTTCTCTCTTCCCAGTATTGATGATCTAAATTTACCAACACACTCACACTGATGCTGTAGGAGTCAACTAAATTTAACACCTTTGGACCAGGCATTATTCAGCATGGCTAGTGTTAATGAAAATCCTCAGTCTTTGGTTTATTGGATTACTGCTCCTATACCTTGGTATGGGGCCTGAAAGTATGAGCATTAACACAACTCACACCTGTCAATTCCGTGCATAAATGCAAAAGATTTTCTATGAACCGATACTATCAAAGGTTTTCCCCACACTCAATGCCCGCGCACAGTATATTGGACACAGTCTGAACAAAAATGGCAGTATGGTTACATATTATGGTAGTAAACAACAACAGAGCTATAGGGCTGTGAATCACACGCATCTTATACAGTTTGTAAGCAGCTGTTTACTTGGATATGGTGCTGTTGGTTCCACCAAGCTTTGCATTGATCTTCAAACACACGTTTGTGAGTGTAGAGGGATCTGTCTTTCTCAGGGTCCCAGCCACAATGCATTGGGTACGGACCCCAAGAATATTATCACCGGCACGCTTCACAGTCGCTAGGGAAAAGTACAATGATGTTTAGTACAAGTAAATTAAAAATCCTGCGAATTTAAAATAAAGAGGCATATACATAGGGATGGTATATAAAGAAAGGGAGACAAGATAAGGATGGGATACATGAT